GTATGGCGCTTTCTCAAAAAGTTGCAAATAGATATACCATTTGACCCAGCAATTCCACTACTGGGAATATACCCCAAAGAGACCATAGCTGACATCCAAGCAGATATATGCACACCCATGTTCATTGCCGCTTTGTTCATAATAGCAAAGAGTTGGAAACAACCCAAGTGCCCATCAACAAACTAATGGATAGAGAAGCTGTGGTATATTCACACAATGGAATACTATGCTGCACTGAAAAACAAGGAACTCACACAATATTATTCAAAATGGGTGACTCTCGAGGACATTATGCTGAGTAAAATATCTCAGTCACAAAAGGACAAATACTGCATGGTGCCACTGTTGTAGAAAGTGACTGACATCAGTGTTGGGGTAAGACTGAGAAAAACTGGATAGATTATGTATACTGAATTGAAACAGAGGAGGGAGAGAACAGTTTAAAAGTGATATATGATAGCATATTATGATTATCACAGGAATCCAGAATTAAGGTTGCATAGTGGAGTGCATTTGGGGGAGCAGGGTAGGGGTTGGTGTTGTATACCAACAAAGAAGTTTATCTTTTGCTTTTCAAAGAGAGGAGTGAACTGGGGGAAGAGGGGTAAAAAAAAAAGTGCAGCAATGAATGAATGAAAATCCAAAATATCTGTAAATGTTCATTAAAATTAATAAAATAAAGGAATATCAAAGAAGAACTGATGGTTTTGAATAGTGGTGTGGGAAAGAATACTGAACATACTACAAAGTGCCACAGGAGCACACAAAGAACAACTGGGCTGCTCCTTGGAGGTGAGAAGATGGGGCTCACATACTTTGGGTATATCATCAGGAGGTGCCAACCCCGGAGGAAGACAGCGTCCCTGATCGGTAAAAAAAAAAAAAAAAAGATGAATTGACAAAACAAAACCCCAAAAACCCCAAAAAAAAAAAAAAAAGGATGAATTGACACAATGACTGGATCGAACACCAACTTCTGGGGAAGTTTTGTAATTGTCTCCCTGTGAAGGACGAGCCACAGAGACTCAAAGTTGAAGGGTCTAATCATAACGGAGACTTGAAGCCAAGCCTAATGCTGGCATCCCCTCTGAGATGGCTCTCTCATAATGGTTCCAGAACCGGCTGTCCCTCCGCACAAAAGCAGTTGCTTCCAGTCTCGCCCTCTACCCACTGAGCCTGGCACCACATCACATGCGCAGTGGCGACAAAAAGAACTGGAGCAGTATGAAAAGCCTTCTTGGTAAAAGGAGCCCCATGGAGCACCGCCAGGGCGGTAAGCAGGGAGCTCCCAGCAGCGCATTTGTGACCTTGGCAGGGCCAGTGTAGAACTGCTGCGCGCGGGTGCCGGCCACAGCCTTGTTAGTCCTGATGTCTCGCCCCTGCTGCCCACCCTCAACCCGATCTCACTGCCTGCCTCTCCTGCTCAGAGCTGACCCTGCTTCTATTAATCCGTACGTGTGTGTGTGTGTGTGTGTGTGTGTGTGTGTGTGTAGATGCTGTGTCCTCGCTCCACTCGCTCATACATTTCCAGACCCTCCACTCTGCTGCTTCTGCCTCTCCCCCCCCCAACAAGTCCTGAGCGGGGGCCACGGCTTCCCAGAGCTCTAGTATAGAGGGACCCCCCCAACAGAAGTGCAAAAGCGCTCCAGAGAGACCTTGGAAGAGTCGGAGAGGAAGTAGCCGGGAGCGTCGCGATGCGGGCGCGGGAGACAAAGAGGGTGTGGCCTTATGATTCAATTGGCTTGCAGGGCCTCGGGCTGGGAGTCAGACTCTGAGTCCACCGCGCTCAGTGGGTGGCTTGCGCTGCCCGTTGAGTGCGCAGGGGCTGCTTCCTTGGATCATTTCTCTTCCCCTGGGATCCCTGGCTCCTCCACTCACAGGCAGGTCCCAACTGTCCTCCCAGCACATCCAGGTGGTTACCAAGCCCCACGTGCTCTCCAAGCCTGAAGCTGTTCCTGGTGCCTGGAGCAGGTCCCTGCCATCTTGGTGCTGGACATCTGCTAAAACTCGATGACCCGGGAACTGCCTCGCCCGGGTGGGAGGACACTGGCCACGCCTCGCTCCACTCTCATTCCCTTGGGCAGCATCTCCCGCAAGTGCTCTCCTGGCATATTTACCTGATGAATCCATCCACCCTGCACCCACTCTGTCCCAGCCAAAGTGTAACTAGGTGTGTGGGAGCTAGCCCGGACTTTTGGGGTTACAGGCCCGATAGCAGGATCCAGTCCCAGTCATGAGCATTGGGTGAAACCCAGCTCCGCCAGCCTATGCCTCAGTTTCCTACCCTCTGAGTGGATGCTATTAATAAAAACGCCCATTTCATGAGGTGTTTGTAAAGAGTACTCGCGCGTTAGGGCAACGCCTGACCCACGGTAAATGCGCAGTAAAAGGTAGCTGCTATTAAGAATTTCAACTTACGTTCGGGGTTCCTGACCTGGCCCTGACCCGGAGCTGTGGGTTGGTGGACCTTCAGGATCGCCAAGGGCGGTATTGGGAGCTGTACAGTGCAGAAGCCCTGGCAGAGTGTGCACCTCTTGGGTCCCAGCTTCACTCCCGACCCCTGAATCCAACACCTCTGCAGCCCCTCCTCCTTCTCTTTGGCCTCCTTTCCCAAGGTCTCCGCGCACCCCGTACCCCCTGGGGCCTCAGAACCTGGAGGAGAGCCAGGTCCCTCCCCAGACCCAGCCGCTGGAAACGCCTGGCGCTACCCCCCCCCCTCCGGCAAAAGGCGGGGTGGGGCGGGCTTGGGGCGCCTTAAAAGCCCCAGCCCGCTCTCACGTCGCAGCACAGCGCGGGTAAACAGGCATCCTCCGTTGCTCAGCTGTCTTGGACGACCCCACGGAGCCCTCGCCGCCATGGCCAGCAAGGGTTTGCAGGACCTGAAGCAGCAGGTGGAGGCGGCAACGCAGGAAGCGGGTGAGGGCAGAGTGAGGCGAGGGCGCAAACTTGAGCACTGGTTTGGATGGGGGGTGGGCAGATGTCGAGGGTCTGCGCAACTTGCACGTCTTGCTGGAGTTTGGAAGGGCCCTCCCCCTCAGATGGAGGGCGTACCTGGACCCATCTGAGAGGGGAATGAGGCGGGGTGGTGATGGTGGGGCAGAGGTGGGGGATGGCAGTGCCCGCGGAGCCCAGGGGCGGTGCTTCATGCAGGCAAGTCCTGAGGCTTCGAGGGCGGGCAACGCCCGGCCCCACCTTGATGCACGGGCCCTGCGCTGACACCGCCGTCCACTCGGGTCGCCGGGCCTCACCTCGGTCCACGGGTTGCGTGCTCGCACAGCTGTCAACCTCACACCGCCGTCCACCTGGGTCTCCCAGGCCCATCCCGGGACATGGGCAGCGTATTCCCATCTCCGTTCACCCGGGGAGTCAGTGAACGGGAAACTTCAGACCCCCTGGGCTTTGTTCTAACCCTTCTCCACTAATGCACCCCCCCCCCTTTCTTTTAAGCCTCACCCAGAGGGCCGTGGCTGTCGGTGTGGGCAGAAGAGCAGCCTTCTTCTTCCTTCGTTTTTCCTCTTCCACTCTCCTCCTCAGAACTGAGGTGGTCACAGCTGTAGGAGCTGGGAGGTGGAGGGCCAAATGATACAAGGTTTTGAGGGGGCTCTGGTGGCAGTCTTTCTCATGAAAAGTGTCTTTCCTAATCCAAAGGCCAAACCTCTTTGGAAGTTTGAATCCACCAACCGCTGGGGGGGGGGGGGGCAGAAAGATGGGCAGTTTCCTCCCACAGTCTGGGAAACGGGCTGGAGGGTTTGAGTCAGTTCAGCCTTGAGTCATTTCTCCCTTTCTCCGCACTGGGCAGGGAGTTAGGGAAGACCTGGGGCTCTCTAGAGCAGATCACAGTAAAACATAACAAAGTAAAAACAAACCCACTGGGGTAATCCTACTACTTAACATGGGTTAAGGATGGTTGCTGATTCACAATCAACTCCACACACAGGACAAACTAGATGTAGTTTTCTCTATGTCTTCCTGTCAGCGCAGGACACCAGGGACCCCTGTGAGCAGACTTGAGGTCTCCTGGTCGCTGCACTCTCCCCGACTCCCAAAAGAAGGGAACTCTGGTGGCCTACTCTTAGGGCATTGCTCTGCTGACCCAAAGGTCACAGACTCTCTGACAGTGAAACGACCAGCGACCAGCCGAGTGGCTCCTCTGGAGACAGTCTCCTCCCTGGAGATTTACAGCCTCTTCAGAAACCCAAGGGAAGATCAACCATGAGTTGTTTCAATGGTAGTGAGTCTGAGGTTTTGAGAAGGCAAGCCAGGTCTTGTTCAACGGCCCCAGGACCATGTCTGGCCCAGGCTGCCTGGCTTTCTTCTTCTGGTAGAAATAGAGATGAGAAGTTAGCCAGAGGGGAGTGGCCCATAGTTAAAAATAAACAAGAACAGCTCAGAGGCATGGAAACCACTCAGCCTTTTACTGACTGGTGGCCCTGAGCAAGATATTTTGCCTCCTTGGCATCTATCCAACAGAAGACCACGCTGGAAAATGTCTGAGGAGCTAGGTAAGTGGAGCTTTACATCTCTGTTAACAGTGACAGTGACCGGAACTGCAGTGCAGCAAGTTGTGGATCAAGCCAAGGAGACCGGACAGAAAGGCTAGGCGGGGCTGGGGCGGGGGAGAGGGGGTGAGGTGGCCTGGGAGGGGAGAGGACAGAATCCTTAGCCAATGCCTATTTTCCAAGGGTCCCCCTGTTCCCTTCAGTCCCTTCTGCCACAGTGCTCCTTGAGAGGGTGACCCTGGCAAGCTGCCATGTAGGGACCAACTGGAGATGGGACCAACTGGAGATGGTCCCTAGGATCTCACCTCCCCTTTCCCCGCCTCTCCTTCCCCAGCCATGGACCAGGCTGCCAAGTCCACCCAGGAAACCATCGACAAAACTGCTAAAGAGGCCACGGAGAACTTCTCGGGCTTTGGGAGAAAACTGGGGATCATGAAATGACAGAAGAGAGGAGCCATGGAGTGGGCACTCCCCTCCCCTTGGGGGCGCTGGTTAGCAGCTGCACCAGGGGCCTGCCCCCGTCATTAAACATTTGTTTCACATCCCGTGTCCACTTCATTCTTTCTTCAAGCTCAGCCCTACTCTCCCCTGACTTTAGAGCGGACCCTCGTATCCAGAATCCTGACCTCCCGAACTCAGAAACCCAAAAGGAGTGTTCTGGAACCCCTTTTCTACCTCTATACTGAGCCCCCAACCCCTGTCCTATGACGCGACCCCTCTGCGGAAGCCTTGTGCCTCCCATAGGGGTGTTCAACCCCAGGCTGTCCACAGGGAGAAAGAAAGATGCCCGTGCGCCCGCCCAGCAGTGAGTCACCCCAAGGCCGGGCCCGCCCTGTGGTCGCAGTGTGCCCACAGAGTCCCGCCCCGGTGTGGGGTGGGGAAAGGGCGCACGGGGCCCCGCACGTGAGCGTGAAGGCACCGCCCTCCACGCGGCCCAGCAGCTCAGGCCAGACGCGCCTCTGACTCTGCACCAAGTCAGCTTTCCGGTTTTTCCACTGGGCAGTCCCCTAGATGGATGTGACTCTCTGCCATCACCAGCACGTGCTCATGCACGCGGCACAGCACGGGTGCGCCCGGCTGGTGACCACACCCTGTGGCGTTGTCTGCTGGCCTCTCCGCCTGTCCTCTGCACATCTGGGGCTTTTGCATATTCTGTTCCTTTCTCCTGGCGCCCGGGCAAGCACAGGTCCACAATACTGATGCAGCGCTCCCAGCCTGCGGACCGAGTATTCAGAGGAAAGCACCCTGGTCCTTCCCCGACCTCCTGCCGAGCGGCCTGCGCGCCCCGCTGCCAGCAGAGGGCGGTGGCCTCCTCGGGCCGAGGTGGGTCCTGGTGATGCCGGCCAGTCTGAGGATCTTGCCCTCAAGGCCCCCTCTCGCACCTTCTCAGGCCCGCGCCCACGTCCATGCGCAGTTCCTGGCTGGGACTGTACCATAGGGCCTCCCATGGTCTGCAGAGAGGGCCAGGGCCGCAGGTCACTGCAGGGACAGGCAGGCTCGGAAGCAGGTGCAGGATGGGGACAGCTCACCTCAGGCGCACAGGGTACCGGGGCGGGGGATGGGGGGGCCCTACTGGTTATGTGCTGGGCTGCTTTCCACGATTTGGAAAGATGCAGCCTGCAGCTTCCATCAAGATTTACAACCTCGGAAACTCTTTGGGGCACCTTTACTCTTCCCAGATTCTTGTGGTCGTGAATCTATTTGATGGCAGAGAGATTTATGACTGTGTGACCCGCACCCAGTCAGATGAAGGTGGGTTGTGAGGGTGGTTGAGGGAAGGATTTTCATGCTTAATGATTATATACCAATGAAAGAATTTTTCTTTTACTTTTCAGAGAGAAGAGCGAACTGGTGGGGGGGGGAGGGAGAAAAATGCAACAATGAATGAATGGAAATCCAAAGTCTCTGTAGACATTCATTAAAATTAATAATAATAAAGTAAATAATAATAAAAAAGAGAAGCAGCTCCGTCTTTCACTGATGCCTACACCTGGAGCAGCGGTCAGCTCCCCAGAAGGAGGCCAGCAGTAAGCCTGCTGTGCAGAAAGGCCTGCCCACTGAGCCCCCAAACCACAGGGGCTCCGGCTGCTCCACAGCTGGCTGAGAGGATGCCCCAAACGCAAGCTTAAATCCTTCCAAACTACTGGACTTCCAGGTCCTCCCCGCCTGTCCTTTTGATCTTCGTTTTCCTCCTTTCCTGAGTCTTTAAGGTGCTTTTCTGCCTAGATCGCTCTCCATTTCCCACATAAGCATCATGTTGACCAGCAGCCTCGGTTCACCACTCTCTGGGCCTCAGCAGCCCTGACCAGGAAAGTCTGGCCAAGTGGTTCCCTCTCCTCCCTCCCTCCCTCCCTCCTTCTCTCCTTCCCTCCCCTTCCCGCACTCCCCCCCTCCTCGTTCTCCTTCCCCCTTCCTCCCTTTCTCTGAGGTTCTTTGGCCAGGTGGGAAATTCTAGCTCCACCTCATACTTCTTTTGCCGTTAGAGTGAGACTGTCTTGCTTACTAATGTTCCTTGTTTGCGGGGTTATAGCTAAGCCCACTGCACTTTCCTGCACATTGCAAATGCCTTGCACAGATCTGTCCTGAATGGCATTTAAAGATATTTGTTCTGTTCTCTATAGTTTCGTTTTCCTCTGTTATTTCCGTTTGTGCGTGAGGTTAATTTTTACTTGGTTTCTGTAACTATTATTATTTCCGTAGCACTTTCTTTTTAATATAACTTCTTAGAAAACATTTTTTCCTGTTAGTTAGGTCCTATTGTGGTTTCCATTTCCCTCATTCCTCTTATAGTTTACTCTTAATTTCTGCAATGATTTTAATGTTTAAATATTTTATTATCTTTTTCAGTTTTGCAAGTTCCTTTTCCCCTTCTCTCATTGATTGGTCGTTTCAGAAATCTAGCATTTTTAAAAATGTTATTGTCTTTCTTCACGACTGTAAGTTGATTTATTATGTTTATTGAAAAATTCATATTAGTGTTGAATAATGATTTAAACATTACTTACTTGAGGTAACCTTTTATGGTATGATTTCCTTATGTGCAATGTTGTAGCTCTGATGCATTTTTTCCATGTTGGAAAATCGGTTGTTGGTTGGTTAGGGTTTGGGGTTTTTTTTTCCCCCTTTCACTTTTTCTTGTGATTCAAGTAAAAGTTCACATAGAAAACTAGCTTTCTTGTCAACAACTCATGCCTGTTTTGTTCTCATGAAAAGTGTACAGCACTTTTCACACTTCTTGTTTTTACCATTTCCATTTGTCCTTCCTTCCTCTCCCTTTCTGCTTTCTGAGCTTTACCCCTGGGCACACGCTGTGCTTTGCATTCCCTATGGCTGATTGCTAAGGAACACACACCTTTTGGTGGTTATTTTATTTTTCTTGGCTGAAAGTTGAGCCACCGAGGTGAGTTCAGTTTCATGCCTGAACGGTGAGTAAGTACCATGTATTGGGGTTTCCACCAACCCCTGTCTTCTTTATGATTCTGAGTTCTATTTGCCTCCTGTTTTCTTCTGAGGGTTCCAGCATGGTTCACAGAATGCTTCAATACTACAGTTCAAGTCTCGGATTAATTTATTTGATTCTTTTGACTTTACAAATCCTGAGCTGTTCTTCCCTTTGGTTGTCTAACTCCAAGTTACATGTCATTACGTATTTTATGCATCTTTTTTAGTCACCCTTTGACCTTTTCTACTCAGCTCCTACTTCAACATTGCTTCCATTCCCTTGGTTGTTACTGGTGTCATTGAGTCCACTATGACTCATAGGAACCCCATGAACAATGAATCTGAACCCTGCTCTATCCTGAGCCAGCTTCATCATCTCTAATATACATAAGCCAATTATTATAGTCACTGTGTCAATCCATCTTATTGAAGGTCTTCCTCTCTTTCACTAACCTTTCCAAACATGATGTCCTTCCTTTTCTAAAGACTGGTCTCTCTCCTAACAACATGTCCAAAATATATCCTTGCCTCCAAAGAGTACCTTGGCTGTACTTTCTCTAAGACATATTTGTTTGTTCCTTTGGCAGTCTATATTCAATACTTCTCTTACCCTTAGTCATTGTTCAACTTTCAGATGCGTAACAAATAATCTTAAAAAACAATGGTTTGAGGCAGATGCACCTTAGTCTTTAAATCGACATCATTGCTCCTTAACAATTTAGAGAGATCTTTGACAGCAGATTTACCCAAATGCAATACATCTTTTGATTACTTGACTGCTGGTGCCAAAGGTGTTGATTGTGAATCCAAGTAATAGGAAATCAGTGACAAATTCAATCTTCTCTCCATCTCTTACGATGTTGCCTAGTGGCCCACCGGTGAGGATTTTTGTCTTGATAGTGACATATAATCCATACTGAGAGCTTTGATCTTCTGCACCAAGAATTTCAAGTCCTCTTCACTGTCAGCTAGCAACGTTGTGTCATTTTCATAACTCAGGTTGTTGATGAGTCTTCCTCCAATCTGATACCATACCCATCTTAACAAAGTCCAGCTTGTCAAATTACTTGTTCTGCCTGCGGATTGTATTTGCAGATTGCTTTTGGCAATAGTACCATTTTCACAAGGTTAAGTCCTCTGATCCATGAGCATGGTCTCTTATTCCATTTATGTAGGCCTCTTTGAGTTGCTTGTAGTACTGTTTCATAAGGGTTTTGTTTTGTTCTGTTTTTATAGGTCTTTTGTATTTCTAGTTAGATTCCCCCCCCACACACACACATATTCAATCTTTTGTGTATGGCTCTGCTTTCCTAATTTCCTTTTCAGAGTTCTCTTTTTTAAGGAATCTGACTGGGATTTGTGTGCTTATCTTGTACCTTACCATCTTATGAATTGGTCAATTAGATCCAGTAGTTTCTTGCTGAGTTTTGTATTCTCTATTTATGTGTTGTTAGGTGCTATGGAGTTGAGTATGACTCATAGTCACCCTATGAACAACAGTTCTTTCTGAACCCTCCTACCCTGTGCCATCATTTCTGACATACTTGAGCCCATTGCTGTAGGCCCTGGGTCAATGTGTCTATATACAGTATTATATAACCTGAAAATAGAGATAGTTTTATTTCCTTTTTTGCCTATTTGGATGCCTTTAATTTTTTTTTTCTTATCTTATTGCTCTGGCTAAGACTTCCAATACAATATTGATTAAGAAGATGATAGCAACTTTGCCTGGTCCTTGTTTGCAAGGGAAATACCTTCACTCTCTTTACATTGAAATTAATGTTGGTCATTGGTTTTGCATCTATTCTTTAAATACTTTTGAGGAATTTATCTCCTATTACTATTTTGTTGAGCATTTTGGCAGGAAAAGTGCTAAGTTTTGTTAAATGTCTTCTACATCAATTGAGATGATTGAGTGGTTCTTTTCTTTTGCTTTATTGGTGTGATGAATGGATTGTTTTTCCTATGCTGAATCATACTTGTATACCTGGTATGAATCT